CTTCGGTCCCGAAGAAACATGTGACAGTGGTGACCGTCTGGCTACATCTGCGTATTCCGACCCATTAACCCTCATGAATACCCGCCTCCAACACCAGAAATAGCACATACTAACTTGGTATTCCATGACGGCAGAAAGGCTTATCAAATTGACTACATATTGATATGTTCTCTCTATGCTTCGTTGGTCGAGAACTGTTTGGCGTATAGCGATTCCCTGGAGGAAAATGTCAACGGTACTGACCATATGCTGCCTTATGCCCGTCTCAGGATAATACTCTCTTCCCTCACCGCCAGATTGAACTTGTATTTCGTTCATTCTGATCGGTGCTCACTGCCATTGACGATCCTCCGGTTTTTGTTATGCATCTGGTAGACATGAACAATTCTAGATTAAACAAAATGTGGAACGATAATTCAGGTGTACGTATCCAATCAGTATGTGCAACAGCACTGTTAATTAAGGCATTCAGTCATATCACCCAATCAACCTCGACCATTGATTAGGCTGGTTCCGAGGTCTCCATTGGTTTTCATTATTCTACACCAAGTCAGTTTGTTGTTGTTACAAAGGAAGATGTTGTTAGCGCTTACTGAAATCTATGTGCGGATGATAATGTTATTGCCATTTCCTGTTAAATTTTCACTCTGATGGTCGATTCGCTCGGACTATTCACAAGAAACTCACACTTTCATTGCGGTCGTCCGCATCTTATTGTCCGGTTCGACGACTTCATTGACTTGGTCCTATAGGTTTCATCATCGTCTGGTGAAGTGGGATTATTCGAGGAAACCGGAAAAAGGGTTTAAGGACTTTCCGCATGAGACTGTTCGTGTTTAGTGAAATGCATTTGTTATCGTATATGACTAGGACAGTAAAACGTAACCATCCAGTTCAGTCATACGAAGGGACGCGATACGCACCCGAAGGGATGGGGAATTTCTATGAGTCTATTCAGGAGAATCATTTGGTTGATGGCTTTGACACAAAATTGTACCATTCGTCGTGAGAGGTTCTAACCACCTCTGTCCCAGCCGATCTCGGTTTTTCTCTGGAATGATAGTCTCATATCAGCTGGGGAAGCATGACTGTATTTGTCGATTGCCGAGATTGACTGTCATAAGTATATTCCACGACTGTTGTTTTCAAACTACGTAAGCAGGTGGGTACGCTAGTAATGTACGAAGTCACTGTTCATTGTTGACATTATCATACTGGCTTATTACTTTTCAGCCTACTAAACGACAAATTGAAACCGTTTCTACGCTACTTCACCTGTGTCGAAGGAAAACAATTCATGGACAGTCTCTATCGTAAGTTTTCCATTTGATACTTGCTACGCATTCATGGTTTGGTTTAGGAGAAGAATTGCTGAAACACGAAATCAAATACTTGTTGGACTGTCGCGCCAAAGGAAAGACAAAGTTAAACAGTACGTTTGTTCCGTCAGTTCGGTAATCTTTTCTGTGTTCAACTGCTATCTGTCCATTCATCCACTACTCTATCCATTTCATTCACCGTGCACATTGCGATCTCAACTTTGCGTACCCTTGGCTAACTCACTCTTTACTTTAAGGTCTTTTGCTCCTGTAGAAAGTGACCCCATGGATTATTACGAGTGCTGCTGATGGTGATCGAGCGGTTCAAGTCACTCATCCGCGTGCTTTAATCACTATGGTCCCAGTTTTCAACCCCGTCACCCAATTTTGGTGACAAGCAGCTTTCCTGTCTAACCATCATCATATTTCAACATGAAACCAATTACACAGAACTGGCCAGTGGGCCACAACATACGAACAAAAATCTGTAGAATGTGTTCATAATTTGTGTAGGTATGGTACTCTCCAATTGCTCTGATCGAAGAAGGGAGCTAGCCTCGGGGTCTCCACCCGAAGCCTATGGCTAGAAAGCCAGCCTGCAAGACAACAGGACAGAGGTGAGTCCGCAGTCCATTGAGGGCCGGTGTCCAGTTCATCAGGTCATACATTATTTGG